CCGGGCTGGATTCGAACCCACCACCTTAGGTGCACGTGGCTGGCGCTTTATCCAGTTGAGCTACAGGCTCCAAGCCTGCAACTATCTCTTAACTGGTTTCCTTTCCTCTATTCTTGGTCATAGATACTATGTTATACAATCCATACAATTAACGTTCCCTGCAGTTTGTACATATACAAAGGATCTGCTTTAGTCTCCCTACATCATACTCTAACTCTCATTATTGGTGATGTCATCTAATTTTTCATTTACTTTTAAGCTTCATCTAGACTTTGCCAACTGGTTCCCAGGGTTCCTCCCTAAAGCAATCTCTGTGAAGTGTCACTGTTGCAGATAGGGTGTGCCCTTCCTACCATTTCAGTACCTGGTAAAGTCAAAGGTCACAAGAGAAGAATAAAGAAATAACCAGCAAATTCATACCTGTCTCCTACAGCATGGGGGAATCCACTAATTCCATAATCCCAGAGCCGCTCTATTGCAGCAATAAAATAGTGTCGTGTTTTCTTTTGAAAGCTGCGGGGGCTCTGATTTTCATCTTCATCATAAATGTCAAAATCTTCCCTTTTTGTTTCAGTTGAGATGGTGTCATCATAGTCAATTTCTTCTTGATCTGGCGGAAGAGTAGTAAGGGTTATTTCCCTTCGATGGCGTGTCAAGACTAGTGGGTTTTGAGAGCACAACCTTCCATTCTCTCCTTGTTTTGCCCAAGTGGCTTCTCTTTGGGGTCTATCTTGTCCCTTGTTTACTGTTGCTATTTCATGATTGCTTTCATGTATGTTCAGGGTCAAAATGATGTCCTTTGACTTTAATGTTGTGTTTTCTGTTGACTTCTCTTGGGATTTCCACTTTTCTTTTAGCATCTGGTTATTCCAAGCAAAAGGACTCAGAAGCTTGGAGGGAGTCTTTTCAGACCTTTCTGTTGTCACTTTCAAAAAGGGAACTTCTCCAAATCTATTTGTTTTATTCCATTTAATAGCTCTCTGTGTTTTCTGAAAAAAAATATCTTCCATGAGATTCAGACGGCCAGGAGACCCACTGCTAGTTTCCATAGGGAAAAGGTTCTTCTGATGAATGTGAATTTTTGGAAGCAATTCATCTTTCCAAGATGCTTCAGGCAAGCCTGGTTTCAAGGGAACAGTGTCCTCAAGTTTCTTGTATGTAGCTGAGTTTGCAGCACTTGTCTCCAGGGAGTGAATTTTTCTTTGATTACCAATCATATCCAAAGTTAGGACAGCTAAACAAGGGTCATTACTTTTGCCTCCTTGTAAAAAATGGCTGCTTTCTTGGACTCCAGAACTTTTCTTCCTATAGGCAGATACTAGAAAATGAGAAGAGTTGTCTTGGGATGGGACCCTGATAAGATCTGCAAGTCTAATAGATGGAAATACTGATAACTTTGCAATGGCTAATGCAGAGTTATTCATAAAACAATCTAATAAAGTAGACTGAGTAATGTCCTTTTTCTCCTTCTTATAGTCTACCTGTGTGAGGGTGCCCTGTGTCATATATTTCCTATTTTTGGACCACTGGGTTGAGGTGTCATCCATAATTAGTTCCTTTTTAAGCTGTATTTCTTCCAGTGGGAGTCTAAATTGTTTCAAAGCCCGCTTACCACGTCGAATGATAACATTATGGGGGCTTGGATTAGGAGGCATCCTTGGGGTTCCTGGATACTTCTCTACCATTTGCTTCATCTGATTTCCCCAGCCTTCTAAGTTTTCTTCCTCTCTTTTTTTTGAGAAATGGGCCATGTGAGTCTCTGTTCTATTTGCTGAAACATTTAATGACCTGTTTTCTTGAAGTACTGAAGTATAAGCCCCCTCATCTAAACCTTGTACATTTTGCCTAGTGCTCTGTAAGAAAAGATTCTTCATAAAATTCTTAGTGTCAGTCACTGTATACACCTGAGGCAACAGTACATTCTCTTGGATTAATGTTTTCTTCCTTTCTATTTCTTTCTGAAGTTTTTTTTCTTGATTGCTTGTATCATTTTTGTGTACATTAGCCAAGTTAGTAAGAAATATGTTCCTGCTACTTGGAAAAGCCATCTCTTTGAGTCTTGTGTCCTTTGTAAATTCATCCTCTCCTACTACCATTTTATTCTTCTCTGACAAGAAATTCTGATCTTTCACTGATTTTTCTGATCCTAAAGATATTAATTGCTTTGGGCTGGGGCCTTGCCCAGAGTTCGGGGAATTCTTTCCATGGGTCCTTTTTATCCAATTTGCTGATTGTGGAAAGAATAACATCTTGAAGAATGACATTTCTGTATCTGGTGACATGGGGCCATCTTTTGTTTGGTGGACCATTTCTACATATTTTGATGATATAGTTTTATTTGACACATGATTTAGCCTCAAAGCCATACTATTTTTGTCCATAAATATTTTATCATGAACCAAGGACACTAGTTCTTGAAACTCAGTATCATTTTCTTGCCAGACTGAGGTACTATTCTCATTTAATAATGCTAGGCTATCAATGTGAGTCTTTCTATTAGCTGTTGAATTATTGGATGTCATGTTTGCCTTTACCAAAGAGATATTTACTATGAATAAAGCATTATCTTTGGTCAATGAAGCAGGTTCCTGAGCTACTTTCTCTTTAAATAACCTATCTTTCTCCACTGATGATAATTTTTTTCCCAGTGAACTTTCTTGACTATTTTTTAAAGCAGTTTCCAATGTCTTGTCAGCATTATTCCCCTCACTCAAGATCAAAGGTACACTAGACCCAATAAGGGCAAATAAATTTTTGCCAAATACAGTAGTATCTAATTTGCTATCAAAGTGAACTAGCATACGTGGGGGTCCTACAGAACCCATCTTTTCAGTACTTGCTGTTAGATTGTCTGATGGAATTGCTGGTGCAGTCATTAGATTATTTGATGAACTAGAAACTTTTAAATCAATTTTCTTCAACTCCACTGCTATAGTTGTCCCAAAATTCTCATTAAGTGTTAATTTGAGGCCTGGTTCTGGAGTAAATACTATGTCCCCACTGTGATGGATCTCTGGTGTGAGATGTACCACTTCAGATGAGCCCTTCTTACTGTCCATTGTTCCAAGTGAATGATCATCTGGAATAGCCTTAAATGTGACTGCTTGGAGATCAGATAAAGATAATCCATGTGGAGTAGGACTCTGTTCCACGAACATCAGCAAGTCACTAGGGGAGGCACTTTGTACTTTAAACATCTGTGTTCTCTCTCCAAACTGAGGGTCCATCTTCTGTATGTCATTTTCTGGAATTGTGGTGGCTTTGAATTGATTTTGTCTAATGCTAGGGTGCCTTGAATTCTGGGAGAAGCTTCTGGGTTCAATGATGTTGTTTTCACTTAGAAAGTATGTTGAAATATCTTCATATGTGTCCTCATGATAATCATCAGTCTTCCCATCACAACTAGAAACTTTCAGTAAGGCTGTCATGCCTCTGTTCCGAAAGTCTGAGTTGTGGCACCCCAGAACCCACAGACCTGGAGATGAGGAAGAGTAAGAATCTGATTACTCATAACCCAGGTTCCAAGAAAGTTTTATGTTAGATATTCTCTCCTGTCCCACAATAAATGAAAAAAAATACTCATCAGTAACATAATATACTTATCACAGGGTTAAATCCCTGCCACATGTAACAGTCCAACAATAGTGGTAAAAGTGGGTTTTTCATTGCCACTGTTGTGATATGCCTGCTTTTGAGGACAAGAAAGGGCCGCAATTAAGATGAACAGATCTTGGGATAAAAGTGGAGAAATTTAGTATAGACAATAGTGGAGAGTCTTTTTTTTTTTTTTTTTGCAGTTTTTGGCTGGGGCTGGGTTTGAACCCGCCACCTCCGGTATATGGGGCCAGCACCCTACTCCTTTGAGCCACAGGCACTGCCCAATAGTGGGGAGTCTTAATAGTCAAAAACTCTCTGTTGATGATAGTGACTTGATTCAGGAAAGTTTTTGTAGCAGCTAGGTATTATTGCTATATAATATAGTGGCACAAGTTCTAGAGTCAGCTTACTTGGGTTGAAATCCTAGTTCTACCATTTACTAGCTGTATGACTTTGAACAAGTCACTTAAGCTCTCTGAGCTCATTTTCTAATTTTCAAATGAGGCTAAAAATATCTACTCCATAATTTAATGAATTGAAATCACGAAATACATCTACTGCCCCCCTTTGTAAGATACATAAGCACAACGGAGCAGCACTTAGGTATAGGAGCCACCTAATATAAAATCCTACCATTGTGCTAACAATATTAATTTCTGCTATGAAGGATTAGCTGACTGAAAGACTTCAATAAATTATAATAGGTCAATTCCATGGTGGTAAGGGAGATGCATAAGCATAAGAGACAAAATGCACTCTTATCAAGCTACCCATCAGGTACCTCAATATTCTTATCATCTCACACATCTTTGCAGGCAAGATCTTAACTGCATCCAGTTTCCCCTCAAAGGGAAGCTTTTCTCAAAAGTATTTTCCCCAGAGCCCTGTGAGATAATGGAATGTCCATGAAAAAGCTTTCTATGGTCAAATACCTTTTGGAATCACTGCAACTTGCATTCTATGTCCAGCCAAATTATCAAACAAATGGAAAAAGGAAATAAAACCATTTCTAATATGCAAGAACTCAGAAAATCTACCTCTAAAGCAGCCATTTTTCAGGACACAATTATAAAATGTTCACTACCAAAATAAAGAAGTACACCTAAAAAGAGTAAGACATGGGATCCAGGTACCAGGCACCTATCCTGAAGGAGGATGAAGAAAATTCCCAAGTTGACAATTGAGCCCCAGGCCCACAGCAAACTAGCCCAAGCTAGAACAAAAGAATGCATGGCTCCAAAAGATCAGTTGCTAAGCAAAAAGGATAAATTATGTGATAGAACTTCTGAAAAACGAGGATAACTAAAGGGCAGACATTACAAGAATAGGAATGCTATTAGAAGATCCAGCTAAACTACTTATAAAAATGGAAATGCAATATCATTTCTTTCCACATTTACAATAATGTGATTATACTAAAAATAGGGACATTAGCTGTATGATAAATTTGGTGATTGGAAGTCCAATTTTGTGATATTTGAAGCATATTTTTGATAATGTAAAACCATGTTGAGTCAAGGTAGACCAGGAATGAAGCTAAAATGAACAATTCAAATAAGGTTTTGAACTCTTAAAATTCCACTGTTATAACTAATACCAAACTAATTCATTCTTTTTCCCAAGGGGGAAAAAGTAATTGGGTAAGAAAATGGGAAATGGACATCAAGAAACAAGTCTAGAATGACATACACTAAACTGGTAACAGGGTTTAACCCTGAAACGGACCTGGGATTGGAATTGATGATCAAGAGGGTATTTAGTTATATTTGTATTGGTTGAATTTTTGTAACAAGAACATTTTCTTGTATTACATGTATGACTAAAAGTAAATTTAAAACATTATAATTAATTCATAAATCTTAATCTAAGAGCTTAAAGAATTGGTTCTTTGATGAAAAAGTCAACAAAATAGACAACCAAATAAAATCTAAGAAATTTCACACACATAAAATTTGAAGAAAATGTACACAATGGGAAAGGATATTTGCATATTTTGAATCAGACAAAAGCTTGATAACTAGGATCTATAGAGAACTCAAATTAATCCACATGAAAAAAGCCAACAATCCCATATATCAATAGGCAAGAGACATGAATAGAACCTTCTCTAAAGAAGACAGATGAATGGCTGATAAACATATGAAAAAATGCTCGTCATCCTTAATTATTAGAGAAATACAAATCAAAACCACCCTGAGATACCATCTAACCCCAGCAAGAATGGCCCACATCACAAAATCTCAAAACTGCAGATGCTGGTGTGGATGTGGAGAGAAGGGAACACTTTTATACTGCTGGTGGGACTGCAAACTAATATAACCTTTTTCAAAAGAAGTATGGAGAACCCTCAAAGAACTCAAGCTAGACCTCCCATTTGATCCTGCAATCCCATTACTGGGCATCTACCCAGAAGGAAAAAAAATCCTTTTATCATAAGGACACTTGCACTAGACTATTTATTGTAACTCAATTTACAATTGCCAAAATGTGGAAACAGCGTAAATGCCCACCAGCCCAAGAATGGATTAACAAGCTGTGGTATATGTATACCTTGGAATACTATTCAGCCATTAAAAAAATGGAGACTTTACAGCCTTTTTATTAACATGGATGGAAGTGTAACACATTATTCTTAGTAAAGCATCACAAGAATGGGGAAACATGAATTCTATGTACTCAATAGGACAATTAATGACAATTAATGACATGGTTGGGGTAGGGGAAGGGGAGGGCAGAGAGAGGAAGAAGGAGGGAGGAGTGGGGAAGGGAATAGCAGAGAGAGGGAAGGAGGGAGGGGGTGGGGTCTTTGTGTGTGCCACTCCTTTTGGGAGCAAGACACGATTGTAACAGGGACTTTACCTAACAAATGCAATCAGTGAAACCTGGTTCTTGTACCCTCAATGAATCCCCAATAATAAATTAAAAAAAATGAAATAAGAAAGGAGATATAATTACAGATTACAAAGAAAATGAAAAGAATTGTACTTCTTTTGGAGACACCTCAACTGCCAGTCTCTTCCCCAAATTCTGACATAGGTGCAAACTACTTGACTAAGTTTGGGACTTAGTGAGTACTACAAATATACAGATCAGCTTCTTGCCTCTGTGATCTAACTGGGTATTTCAGTGGACTTACTAATTCTGTAAGCTGTTATCCAATCTTGGACCTAGTTACTATCGAAGTAACATAGAGACACAGAGTCCTGCTGACCATAAGCTGGCACAGGCAGCAAGAGGAAGTAAGAGGAGAGAGGCTACCATAGTAGAAGACAGATAAAAGCCCAGTAGAAACTAGAAATTGAAATGCGATTTTACCTTAACCTTTCTTCCAGCTTTAGAGTAAAGTGAATTCAACATCCACTAAGTAGAGAAAAAGGTGACTAAAGTAAACCATTCATCCTCTTTGTTAACAAACCTTGATCAGGACATATGTGTACCTTGTTTGAGGACAGTATAGATTTTAGAACAACGTGTGACCTATTAAAACATTGCAGAACAAAGAGAAAGAAAGAGAAGTCATGAAACTAATAGGAGGTAATACGTATGAAAGTAATCTAGTGTAGATTCTAGAAAATGTGAGAACAAAAAGCATGGCATATTAATAGAAACACAAGAAGACATAGCCTCCATAATTTAAGATCTCAAAGATACAGATTCTATAATATAAGACTGCAAAGGGTATACACATAGTTAAGTGGTAATGGATGAAATAAAAAGCAAGAGTTGTTATAAGGAAACTTAAAACATAATAGCAGATAACCAATTCTGTGTGGGTATGTGTGTTTTAATAAAACCTTATTTATGAAAACAGGCAGTAGGCTAGATGACAAAAGGGCCATAGTTTGCCAACTTTTGATGTAGATGGTCACCCACTGTGCCTTTCATGGAGAATCAGAGGGTGACCAATTTTTAACATGGTGGAGAAAAGTCTGGCAGGTTTTCCTATTTCTTTTAGAAATTACCCCAAGGAATGGAAAACAGAACACTAACTCTATCTTAATTAAACTAGAAGATATCTGAAGCCATGAAGCCACAAAAAAAAAGTAAATGTAGTCAATGTGAAACAGATATCAGAAGATATGAAGAGTGGATGGTAATGCCCTGCCGATTTAAGAACATTCCCAAGATAACATACTTACTTTTCCATACTAAGTTTCATACTTTAATATTAAAATCCCCCAGTGATTCACTGTAACAATGGGATCAAATTATACAAGCTAGAATCAACAGCTTTTCTGGATTTCTTTCAACATAACACTCAAGTGGTAGGTAGGAAAGATGAGACCTGAACAAATAATCACATAGACAAGCAACTTTTGTAGTAAAAGTCTGTTTTGTGAGTGGAGGGGCAAAAAGAGATTCTGAAATTTAAACAACACTTCATCTTTAATCTTGATGAATGAGAGAGAATAAAAGGCTGAAAGTTCATCCTACAGTCAGTCACTTGTCATAAGAGAATTTATGCCTGTGCTCATTTCAGCAGCACATATACTAAAATTGGAATGATACAGAGAATTTATGCCAGCCTAAAACTCACTCCTGATGCCCCATTGACATATCCATAGGACATTATGCAAAAATTTCAAAGTAACTCACTTCAGTGACAAATAATAACAAAAAGGAATAAGATTCTATAAGATAAAAGGAAGAATCAAATAACAAAAGCAAATAAAAGAAAAACACAAACCAGAAAAATGTTTTTGGGGGACAGATGAAACTCACCATAGCCAAACACATCACCATAAATTTAATCAAATTAATGACCCTATCACATCTGTAAAACCAAAACTTAATAAAAAGCTACAAGAATTTAAAGAAGACATATAGGCTCGGCGCCTGTGGCTCAAGCGGCTAAGGCGCCAGCCACATACACCTAAG